CTGCCACCATGCTGGGCTAAGTTTTTGTATTTTTAGTAGAGACGGGGTTTCACCATGTTGGCCAGGCTGGTCTCAAACTCCTGACTTCAAGTGATCTACCCGCCTTGGCCTCCCAAAGTGCTGGGATTACAGGCATGAGCCACTGTGCCTGGCCTGATTACAACTTTAAAGAATGGCAGTGAAATGAACAAATCCATTTAGGGGCAGGGGAGATTCGCCTCAGTGGATAAAGATGCTGGAACCAAATTAGAAGTACCTGGCCATGAATTCCACCAGCCGCTGATAGAAAAAACGCCCTGCAAAGAGAGAGGACCTTCATCAAGATACCTTCATCCTGGTGCCCAAGGCAACTTTCTGTACTTCTACCTCCTTACCTAGAATAAAAATTGTTTTAGAGAAAAGAACAAGCACCTTGGAGTCTGACAAACTTGGGTCTGAATCTAAGGTCTGCCACTTACAACCTGCGTAGTTTTGGGTAAATCATTAACCTCCAAAACTTGGCTTCCTAATCTGTATACGAGGGATACAAGAACACCTACTTTTTAGAGTTGTTGGGAAAACTGAATGAAAAAATGAGCATGAGGACGATGTCTGACGGTGAACATTCATTCACTATATGTTAACTACTGACATCAGGACATAAAACTAAGTTTCTGGTTGGGACTACAAGGTAGAACCCTCCTTGGGAAAAAAAGATGGATAATCATGAAAAGTGTGTGTTTTAAACCAAGATTTTAGAAAACTGGCTGCAACTGTACACGGTTGGTAGGTCAGAGAGCCTGCCATTGTGTTCCAGGTAAAATCTCTCTTACGGGCCTCTTTGGATTGAGGCACCTTCCGTTCAGAGGACTACTGATCCTACCTTCGTGCTCTCGGTAAAACCTCTGGCAGTCTTCCTTTCTCCACAGTAGTTCTCTCATTCGTACAATCAGGAACTTGTTGCTTAGAATCTGCTGATGAACAGCCTGAATAAAGACCACCCCCAAAATAAAAATCAATCAGGAGACTGAAACTGACCAAAAGAAACCATGAGGACCACTTGTTGCTCAGGACTTGAGGGTTTGTCCCATTGGAGGGTGAGAAGATGAGGTGGGGTGAGGTCAAGACCTTCAGTCACACAGCTACAGTGTGCACCTTGGGTGAAAGGGGATAGGATGCACTGTCTCTACTCTTCTATACCTGTAACCCCTTGAGCTCAAGACCACAGGACCCCCCACTCAGACCACCGTAAAAGTCTTATTAGTGGTCCTGCCTTGAGTTTCTCTCACTCCCTCCAAACTATCACACTTGATAGATGAGAAACTCTAATTTACATGTCACACTCTGGTCAGGTGTTAAGTAGTTCCTGTTATTCAAGGAATGAAATGCAACCACTTTAGCCCAGTGCTCAAGGTTATACTTTCCTTGCTCTGTACCAATTCTCTAGCCTCACCAATCCAGGCTGCCTGCGGCCCTCAGACCCATCACATGCATTCTTTTCTCAGCATCTCCCTTCTGTGCAACACCTGTCCTCCTGGCACTAACCAAAATTTACCATTCCTTTGAGGCCCAGTTGAGTCCTGCCACTTCCAGGCTCCCATTCCTGACTGCTTGGATCTTCCTCTGCACCATAGTGGGCTTACTTAGCAGTGCTACTCTGTTAGTATTTATTAAACTGTGGTATGCAGAATGTGAAAATGACCCCGAGCCCCACCAAGATTTCCCACCCGAATCTCCAGGGCTGTGAATATGATGCAATATGATTATGTTACATTACATAACAATAGGGATTTTAGAGGTATAATTAAGTTACTCATCAGTTGATTCTGCTGTAATCAAAAGGGAGATTATCCAGGTGGGCCTAATCACGTGAGCCCTGTGGGATTAGAATTGTGAAGGCTTCTCAATGCCAGGCATTTTCTCTGGCTAGAGGCTGAGGAAGTCAGATTCAAAGCATGCGAAGGATTCGATGCACTGTAGCTGTCTTGAAGATAGAGTGGGCCATGTGATGAGGGATGTGAGTGGTCTCTAGAAACTGAAAGGAGTTCCTGCCTGAAGGCCAACAGAGAAATGGCAGCCTCAGTCCTTCCATCATAAGAAATCAACTCTGCCAACAACCTGAATGAGTTTGGAAGTGAATTCTTCCCCCAGACCCTCCAGATAAGGGCCTGGTCAGCCAATACCTTGACTTTGGCCTTTTGAGACGTTAAGCAAACAATTTAGCCAAGTCTATGGACCTCTAAACTATTGAACTGTGAAGTAACAAAGGAGTGTTGTTTTAAGCTCTCAAGTCTGGAGTCATGTGTTATGTAGCGATAGAAACGAACACAGATACATTGTCTTGAGATTTGGTTCTATTATTGCTTTGGGTCCTTTCTTATATTTTAGATCTGTCTCAAGTCTCCAATAGATACTTAGCCTCCGCAGGTCAGAGTTCACGGCTTCTAGCTTTGCCTCCACAGCATCCAGCACAAGTCTGTGTTGCCAGTCACCGTAAGTGGCCTGATGGCACCTGAAGCAGTGGCAATTCCCAGGGCATGTGGTAGAGGCTTAGGATTCATTCTTACCTCCAGAATCAGCGGATGGGCGACTGCATCAGGCTTGATCAGGGCTAGAGTGAGCTGGAGAGCCTGAGGGCTTCGCAAGATTGAGGCCATCCCACTCCTGCCATTAGAAAGCTGTATTAGGAACCATTCAGGACTGCACTCCCAGCCTTCCCTACATTGAAGCCATGTAGCCTTGCAAGCCAACGAGTGCTCTCACTCCTGACACTCATAAAGAACCTGACAGTTTCATCTTAAGGCCATATACATTATTTTATTTAATTGCCCATTTGGGGTCATGGGATCAAGGGAGGGGAGTGGTAGAGGGAGCATTCAAGTTTCCCCGTGGAGTGTACAATCTGGTGCAACTGTAAGCCTATGAAGGAATTACCCATTCAAAAGAAACTCAAGTTTAAATACTACCTGTCTCTGCCAATATCCCTTCCTAACTTCCTTTTGTATTTTACAGAGGATTTGCAACTTACACTTCTCAACAGCCTATCCACAAGGGTATAATCTCTTAAAATCTTCCATCCCATAGTGCTCTCCTATCAAATCTAGAATTGGAATATTGATGGACAGGAACTGAGGTGCTGCCAGGATACCAAAAAGTCTGCTGGATAAACACCATCTCTATTCTAATATTATGGAGAGATCAGGATCTCCTGTGCCCAAATCAAACCTGTTAATACACTCAGCTGTCCTCAGTGGCAAGACCTGTCAACACGCAACTCCAATGTCAGGAACAAGTCATAACCATTTTGCATTTGAAACAGTGCCTGGCACAAAGGTGCTTGATCAATTTTATTTACTAAATAAACCTATATAGTCTTATTTCTATTCATCTTTGTATTCCTAGTGTCTAGCATGGTGTAAGAGCTCAACATTGTAGAAATGATATAATGGACATAAAAGCATTTTATAAACTGGACTAACGGGAATTTTGAGGTCTTTTCCAACTGTGAAATCCGAGTTATATGTGAGAAATTGATCACCTCTGCAGGAGTAAAGACTTTGTTTCAAAATCTTATCTCAATATTATCTCTCATTTGGCCATGTGTAGTGGCTCACACTTGTAATATCAGTACTTGAGGCCAGGAGTTTGACCTGGGCAACAAAGCAAGACCCTGACTCTACTATATATGTGTGTGTGTGTGTGTGTGTGTGTGTGTGTGTATAAAATCTCTCATTTGTCAACAAATACAGAGAAGGCTTCCATGAACACAGGCAGGGACAAAGTCTAGACAACATTCTCATTTATTTTATCCTAAAGCCTGTCAATCATGTTAAAGGTGGTATTAGAATTTGGCGCAAGCAATTATGTCATGGTCTCTTCTATTCATGTCCTTTCTACAGCTTTCAACCTGATTTTCCACTCAAACCATAAAGCCACGTCCAATCTAACCAGCACAAGATCAGCCAACCCACTCTCCCTAATGCCACAGGTGGTAACATGTCATTTTCAGCAGTTGTCTACAGAGACATCCATGACACCTCCCCTCCCTCACTCTTCATATCCACACAATCACTAACTTCGGGCAACCTACCTAATATATCTCAAAACCCATACCATTCTCCAACCCTCAACTACTATCACCATAACTCTAAGACATCATCATTCCTCTCTGGACATCTTGACAGCCTCCTCTTTGGTCTCCCAGTTTCTGTCCTGCCAACCTCTACAATCTCCACACAGCAGCCAAAGTGAACCAAACATGCAAATCTAATCATATGGTTCCCCTCCTTAACCCTTTAAAGGGCACCCTGCTCTTAGAATAAAAACCAAAATCCTTATCACAGCCTCCCAGGCTCTGCATGATCTTGTGGTTCCATACGTACCTCTCTAGCCTCATCTGGAACCCCACACTCCGTAAGTTTCTCTAGCTCCAACCTCATGGGCCTTTCAGTTTCGAAAGACCTTCTGGCTTGACAGCCTTTGTGTGAGTTTTCACAGTCCTGAACGTGCTTTCTGTGGTTGCCTCCTGCTCACCTTAATGATCTTAGCTCACTTCCCGTTGTACTTTCTCACAGCTCCTTGCAAATTCCCTTCAGTTCCATCTTCCCCACCAGAAGGTGTAAGAAGTACCTAGCACACAGCTGGCTCTTAAAAGTATCTGAAAGAACCAATGAATGCATCTGATCCAGCTATTCCAAGGCCAGGCTGCTAGGGGTTCTCGTAGCAAGAACACGCGGCCTGTAGGGAGAACATGGTTCCTTTATTAATGCAGCTAAGTTGTGGCGGTCTTCACTCTTGGTTTACAACAAACTGACACGTCGAGAATCCTGTTCGACTTAATGGTGACTCCATCAGAGAATTAAAAATTTTAGGCAGGGCTTGGTGTCTCACGCCTGTAATCCCAGCACTTTGAAAGACCGAGGCGGGCGGATCACGAGATCAGGAGATCAAGACCATCCTGGCCAACATGGTGAAACCCCGTCTCTACTAAAAATACACACACACACACACACACACACACACACACACACACACACACACAAATTAGCCAGGCGTGACGGCGTGCACCTATACTCACAGCTACTAGGGAGGCTGAAGCAGGAGTATTGCTTGAACTCTGGAGGCGGAGGCTGCAGTGAGCCAAGATCGCGCCATTGCACTCCAGCCTGGCGACAGAGCCAGACTCCGTCTCCAAAAAAAAGTAAAGCTATCGGTACATTGCCCCCCAGCACTCGAGCGGGCCACCACTCGGCTTCCTGGAGGGCGGCGGCCCAGTCCCACCTAGTCCACCCACGCGCGGCCCGGATCTGCGCCTCTACCCCTGTGGCCCCGCCCTCCAGCCCCCCGGACTCCCGGCTTCAACTCTCGACCCAGCCCCCTACTTCTCTAGGCCTACAACCGCGCAGTTCTCGTACCCGGGGCCTAAGCCCACCCCAGATTCTACGTCATTCGGAGCCCCAGTGCAGCGGAAGTCCGGCTCCGGGTTCACCTTGCCCTCCCGCACAGGGCCCGGCCACCAGGCACCACGCTGGATAGCCTGCGGCCCTCCCGGGGTCCTTCAGGCGCTTGTTGGGCAGCCCTGCTCGGGGTCCTCGTACGGTTGCGCCGCGGGGTGAAGCGAGGTGTGAGGAACTCTAGCGGGCAGCGGGTTTCCTAGGCGGGTGCACTTGCCGCGACGGGACTAGAGGATGCAGCCGTCCTGGGCGGCGGAACTGGCTTGTGGGAACCGCCCCTCGGAAGCCGGCATGGGCGCCCTCGGCGGGAGGGAATGCCGGGCCGGATGCCGACGCAGTGCTACGCAGAGTGGCGGAAGCCAGAGGACCGGACGGGCCCGTTCAGGGTGGCGGGCCGGCGGGGGCGCTGCTGGCCAAGAGGGACACCGACGGGAACCTTGCCCACCTTGTTATTTTCTATGCCTAGGGTAGTTCCTGGAACATGGTTGATGCCCAGTATTTGTACGCGGAGGGCAAAGAACTTCAGCGCTGGATCGCGAGGGCACAGGCAGCCCTTCAAAGTCTTTTGAGCTGGGAGCGATACATTGGCACGAAGGATCGTAGCTAATATGGGGGTTGATGAAGGAGAATCCTTGGCTGGAGCCCAGGTGTGCATAGGGCCTGAGGGAAGCAAGTCATAACGGCCTTTCACGTGTAATTAGGAATCTGGGCAGCAGGTTGGTGGTTGCGTTACTTGAGTCTATTGAAGCAGCCCAGGGTGAGGAGATTAGAACTGGGGGTGTTCCTGGTGTGTACTTGGATGTATGGAGAGGATGGGGACAGGGAGAATGGATCGGGGGTCACCTGTGGCAGGTGTGAGCAGAAACTTGGTGACAGGCTTAATAAAGGTGGTAAAAAAAAAATGTGTTTTGGTTTCTTGGAGTTTTTTTGAGGGAAATCACTGAGAATGAGAAGAGTGAAAATAAACGATAACTGTCATCAATTTAAAGACTTAACTTGCACATTTAAGTGACTTCAGTGTCTGCCTACACAAGGTATTGCCCTCTTGGAAGGTTTGTCCCCAACTCCTCATGACTTCTCTCTCTGCAGCAATAAGAAGTCACTTCCCATTAGTTTCCTGATACCCAGTCACCTTTGGGAACTTCTGAGGAAAGTTTTTCCAGTCTCTCCAGAGACCCTTGCATTTCTTCTCTTTTTGTTTTGACCCCTGACGACCACCCCCTACTCTAACCTTAACTCCTTTGATACTCAGTTCCAATCCTAACCCAAGCCCTAGTCCCTAAATTTATAACCCTTTAATCCTAGACCTGGTCTCTGGATCCTGAGGCCTTGATGCTTATCTTCTAACCTCCTAATCCCAACCTCTAATCCCTAAACCTCAACCCATGACCTCTGATTCTCAAACCCCAGGCCCCCAACCCTGACTCCAAAAATGACAACCCAGTACTTCTCCCTACCCTGAATCACAGACAGAGGGAGTTGTAGCAACTGAAACTGCAGTAGGCCAAAGGACCCAGTGAGTTAGCCAGCAAACTACTCTAAATACAAGATATGGTGGATAACAGCAAGCCTAAACAAATCTTCCTCGAAGATGAGCAACAAAAATCCCAGTCATTATGACTACGCCTCTGTATCCCAACAAAGGGGCTTAAATCAGCAAGTCATCCCAGCCCCTGAAGGAAGAGAACAGTCCTTGTAAGTTGCAAAGCTCTCAGACAGAGGACATGAGTGGTTCAGTAAAGCCCCTGTGCTAGGACACAGCAAAATAAACAACACAATAACCACTATGGCCCAGCAGATGAGGGCCACAGCCAATATGGCCATCCCTGAGTCTTCCTTTGCAGAATGATCATCAGGACTCCAGAAGTCCCAGCAAACCAGTAGCAATCCAGCTGAACAGAAGACCAGAGCCCTATGTGAAGCCAGATTCCAGACAACTGATATAGATGGCATTCCAAAATCTACAGCATTCCAGCATGTAACAAACTGCAATAAGTGACACAGATCTCTCCCCAACAGTCACCTTATGAGAAGTAAGGGGAAAAAAATGCTCCAATAAAATGGAATCCCAGAATCCCTTTACCATCCCACCCTCAAACCCCTCCCCATTGCCAGGATGCTATGGCATAAGAGACAAAGGACAATTCACAGTAGTAATAAAAAAAACATTTACTAACCACTGAGAAACAGTACTGACCAGGTGCCTCATTTGATGCTACGCTTATGTGAATTCTGTATGTATACTGTACTTAGATACAATTTTTAAAAAATTGATACTGCTAAAGCCTTGCTTAGATGGAAATTTGTAGCCTAAAATACATATATTAGAAAAGAAGAAGGACTGGAAATTCAGTAAGCCTCCATCTCAACAAGTTGGAAAAAGAGGAACAGAGCCTCAGAAACCTGTGGCACGTCATCAAGCATATAATATTGTTGTTGTTATTATTATTATTATTATTATTATTTTTGAGATGGAGTCTCGCTCTGTCGCCCAGGCTAGAGTGCAGTGGCCCATCTCTCCTCACTGCAAGCTCCGCCTCCCGGGTTCACACCATTCTCCTGCCTCAGCCTCCTGAGTAGCTGGGACTACAGGCGCCCGCCACCACGCCCGGCTAATTTTTTTGTGTGTTTTAGTAGAGACGGGGTTTCACCGTGTTAGCCAGGATGGTCTCGATCTCCTGACCTCGTGATCCGCTCGTCTCCGTCTCCCAAAGTGCTGGGATTAAAGGCGTGAGCCACCGCACCCAGCGTTGTTATTTTTTTTGAGGCGGAGTCTCGCTCCGTTGCCCAGGCTGGAGTGCAATGGTGCGATCTCGGCTCACTGCAGCCTCCGCCTCCTGGGTTCAAGCGATTCTCCTGCCTCAGCTTCCCGAGTAGCTGGAATTACAGGCGCCTGCCACCACGCCCGGCTAATTTTTGTATTTTTAGTAGAGACGGAGTTTCACCGTGCTGGCCAGACTGGTCTTGAACTCCCAACCTCAGGCGATGGATTGCCCGCCTTGTCCTCCCAAAGTTTTGGGATTACAGGCGTGAGCCACTGCGCCTGGCTGTTATTATTTATTATTAGCTCTTGCTTTATGCAGTTGTCTTTTAAGTCATATAGGGTATAAAAGATTTACAAACAAAACCATATATTTATACTGTCTTTACCTGTGTAGTTACCTCTACCAGTTCTATTTCCCCATGTTGATTTAAGTGTCCTTTCATTTCAGCCTAAAGTATTCCCTTTAGTATTTCCTGTAGGGTGGATCTGCTGGACACAAATTATTTCAGTTTTTATTAGTTTTGTTGGTCTATCTTACTTTCTCCTTCATTTCTTTTTTTTCTTTTCTTTTCTTTCTTTTTTTTCCTTTCTTTTCTTTTTTTTTTTTGAGATGGAGTTTTGCTCTTATTGCCCATGCTGGAGTGCAATGGTGCAATCTTGGCTCACTGCAACCTCTGCCTTCTAGGTTCAAGCAATTCTCCTGCCTCAGCCTCCCAAGCAGCTGGGATTACAGGCATGCAACACTGTACCCAGCTAATTTTGTGTTTTTAGTAGAGAGGGTTTCACTATGTTGGCCAGGCTGGTCTTGAACTTCTGATCTCAGATGATCCACCTGCCTCAGCCTCCCTGAGTGCTGGGATTACAGGTGTGAGCCACCGCTCTCTTTCATTTCTGAAGGATTTTCTTTATGGATATAGAATTCTTGGCTGATATTTTTTTCTGTTAGCACTTTGAATATATTATCTTACTGCTTTCTGGCCTCCATGGTTTCTGATGAGAAACTAGATGTTAATCTTACTGAGGATCATTTGTACTTAATGATTTACTTCTCTTTTGCTATTTCAAAATTCTCTCTTGGTCTTTGGCTTTTGACGGAGATTATGATGTGTATAGGTGTGCATTTCTTTGAGGTCGTCCTACTTGGAGTTTGCTGAGTTGCTTGGATGTGCATGTTAACATTCTTTGAAAAATTTGAGATATTTTCAGCCATTATTTCTTCAAATATCTTTCTGCCCTTTTCTTTCTTCCATTCTCCTTCCTGGACTACTATTATCTTCATGTTGTCTTGTTTGATTATATCCCACAGGCTTCCAGGGCTCTGTTCCTTTTTCTTTCTGCTCCTCATACTGGATAATGTCAATCTTTCTTCAAATTCACTTGTTCTTTCTTCTGGGCCTGTTCAACTTTGCTATGAAGCCTCTCTAGTGAATTTGTCATTTTAGCTATTGTACTTATCACCTCAGGAAAGTTATATTTTTTAAAAATAATTTCTTTATGATGTTCTCTACTTGTTCACACATCA